TTTAGACATGTCTAGTTCTTTGCAGGTCCGCAATATGAAAGCGGGTCCTCAATATGAAACTAGAGGTCAATTGTTACTTAAGCAACCAGGCTTATCATACTGTTAACTGCAATTAGTGAGTTTTCTTGAGGTCAGAGAAGAAGATGCCAGAAACAGAAGAATGGCCTGCCTCAGGGAAGTGTGCTTGATCTTTCAATGTTCAACATTTATACAAATGACCAGCCATTGCCAGAAGAATTTCATGTATGCTGACAACCGTGCCATCACCCCTCAAGCAGGGAGCTTTGAAAAGGTTGAACAGAAACTCTCCAAAGCTTTAGGTGTGCTTACTGCCTATTATAGGGAAAACTAGCTGATTCCTAATCCATCTAAAATGCAGGTGTGTGCTTTTCATCTTAAGAACAAACAAGCATCTCGAGCTCTGAGGATTACCTGGAAAGGAATCTCACTGGAGCATTGCAGCACACCAAAAGACCTAGGAGTTATCCTGGACCGTGTTCTGACTTATAGGAAGCACAGTTTGACTATCAAGCAAAAAGTGGGTGCTAGAAATAATATAATACGAAAGCTGACTGGCACAAACTGGGGATCACAACCAGATATGGTGAAGACATCTACCCTTGCACTTTGCTACTCTGTTGCTGAATATGCATGCCCAATGTGGAATACATCTCATCACGTTTAAACAGTGGACAGATGTCTATGCCCCACAACGCTGTGGAACTTATACTGCTTAGCCAGTATTGCACCACCTGACATCTTTTGGGAAGTAGCAGCCTGTAATGAAAGGATAGAGACATTGACATCCCTGGCCCATCTTCTGTTCAGATATTAACCAGCACCAATAAATAGCTTCCTAAGATATTTGCAGGAACACCTCAGCAATCGGGAGTCCAAAAGTGACAGACTAAAATCTGGAACCTCAATCAGTGACTGATACCAGATGAGAAACTGCCCCCTGGGCACACAAAAGATTGGGCATCTTGGAAGGTGCTGAACAGACTGCACTCTGAGACTATGAGATGCACAGCCAATCTTAAGAAATGTGGCTTAAAAGTGGAGTCCATGACATGTGAGTGTGGAGAAGAGCAAAACACAGACTGTATACTACAATGCAGTCTGAGCCCTGCCACATGCACAATGGAGGACCTTCTTGCATGACACCAAAGGCACTCCAAGTTGGCAGCTTCTGGTCAAAGGAAATTTAATATAATGCCACGTTTTTAACTTTTTTTGTGTTTTTAAAATACATTATAACTGTATTCTCAATTTGTTTCTGACACAATAAATAGTGAGTTAAAATGGCAGTATAAATGTTTGGCAATACGCCACTTGGCATTTCAACAGTAGGGACTGAAAAACTCTAAACAATATAATAATAATAATAATAATAATAATAATAATAATAATAATAATAATAATAATCTTTATTTGTACCCCGCTCCACTTCCCCGATGGGGACTTGGTGCGGCTTACATGAGGCCAAGCCCAAAACAACAATTACATGAAATAAAACAAAACCAAAAACGTAAATAATAAACAATAATAACGCAATTACATAAAACAAAAGACAACATAGCAATATAAAATTACAATAAACACAATCACAGTAACATGGGTGAACTACATGTAATGGATAAAAGAAAACTGGGTAGAAACAGATTAAAAACTCAGGCGAGATAAACACGAGATAAACAAGGACAGGTTATTTGCGGAGGAGAGCTCGTTTTAGTGGAGGTCGTGAAGCAAAGCTTTCCTATAGGGGTGAATGCACTCCAATAACAGAACCGTTAAAACTAAGCACTAGTATGAGGATGTAAATCTATTCATCAACCAATAGTGAATTAGAAATAATAATAATAACAATAACAATAATAATAATAATAATAATAATAATAATAATACATTAAAGGATTTCTGTGTGGTGTTGATGGGGGTTTGGCCACTTTCGAGCATGAACCAGTAATCCAGTTCATATTTCCGAACAAGTTGTTTAGAGAACTAACCCAAAGGTGAACAGATAAGACACTTTCAGTGCTGGTGAATCTTACCAAGTTTCACTATGAACAGTCAAATGGAATTTAAAGACAATCACAACTGTTCCACTTTGTTACCGTAAATGTAAATTTAAAATGTAGGTGGAGGTCATGTTTCCGAAGCATTCCTTTAATCTTATATAAGCAACTTCAAAGACCATGCGAATAGAAATCTCCCTTCTCCCTAGATAGACTGCTTGTCGTGCTGTGTGTTTTCTTCTCTGCGGTACTTATGCAATATGACGCCACATGCGGTTTGTTGACGCATTTTTTCTTAATATTTCCATTTCTATTTACCAGATTTCCCTCCTGCCCAAAGTTGCTATGAACTCTGGCAATGCAGATCTTTGATACTTAAGTGATAATGACTATTACAACAAAGTGAAGATTGTTAAGATTTCTGCCTATATATATATATATCCCAGAATGTACTCAAGCTACATTATATCTTCTCTAGATATGGTTGGCTTAATTTTGAGCCACAAAAGTCTCACATTTAACCCCTATTTGTAATGTCATTGAACTTACTATTATGCAAAGAGCTTTCGATTTATATGTCTACTGTTTTAACATGGCAAAATATATTCCACACAAGGCATTGACATCCCCGGCCCATGCTCTTTTCGGATATCAGCCAACATGCCAATGTCTTAAATCAAGAAATAGCTTCCTAAGATCCACAGGGACACTCACAGGGACACCTCCACAAACGAGAGTCCAAAAGTGGTAGGTTAAAACCCAGAACCTCAATCAGTGGCTGATACCAGATGAAAACTCCCTCCTTGGCACACAGAAGACTGGGCAACTTGGAAGGCGCTGAACAGATTGTGCTCTGGCACCATGAGATGCAAAGCCAACCTTAAGAAATGGGGCCACAAAGTGGAGTCCACGACATGAGAGTGCGGAGAAGAGCAAACCACAGACCACCTACTACAATGTGCCCTGAGCCCTGCCACATGCACAATTGAGGACCTTCTCACATCGCCACCAGAGACACTCCAAGTGGCCAGCTCCTGGTCAAAGGACATCTAGCATAATACCAAGTTTTAAACTTTGTTTGCATCTTTAAAAAAATACATTATAACTGTACCGCTTCTGGCTTGATAAATAAAATCTCCCAGTGCAACATTTCAGCCTGTCTTGGTGAGTTTGCCCCAATTTACCTGGTTTTGTAGCAAGGAACTGGCTCATAAGTAACCAAGATAAGGCCATGTGTGACCTGAATTTGGGGAGTTACTATTGAGTAATACTCCACTCCCATTACTTGTTCTAGTGTGTTAACATTTTTAATTTTTATGAATTAGGGCAAGTGGCAATTAAGTTGTATAACTATTTGGGATGGGAGAAAAAGGAAAGCATTGCCCTAAGTCAGTGTTTCCCAAATTCTGGTCTTCTAGGTGTTCTGAATGTCAGAATCTGTGATCATTGGCTAAGGCAGGTGAAGCTTCAGGAAACCTGAAGTCCAAAACCCTTGGGAGGACTAGGCCACACACATTTATTTCATGTTATTATCTGCATTTGATGGAATAATCTCACGGGGGGGGGGGGGTACTCCCTTTTATTGAAAGATAGTGATAGCTTAAGAGAGAATAATAAGAATGGTGGCAGTTAAAACCTAAATATATAAAAGTATATTCTGGTAACAGGGCCCCTGGTGGCACAGTGGGTTAAACTGCTGAGCTGCTGAACTTGCTGACTGAATAGTTGGCGGTTTGAATCCAGGGAGTGGGGTGAGCTCCCGCTGTTAGGCTATTAGGCTTCTGCAGGAAGGTAACAGCTCCCCACTTCCTATCCTTCACTGAAGAATATTAGCAATAAATACTCACATTTATTTGCATTAACTACATTGGCTTTGCATAGTGAAACCAACTCAGAATATCCTGGCAGCACAAATATTAAAAGTAACTTGTTTAATTTTTCCCCATTTGAACATAAAATGGGGTTTGATTGTGCAACCATGGGGTTATGAGAAAGCCGAGACACTTGGATGCCTCCGGTTTACTTCTGCAGTATTCCTTAAGAAAAATCCTTTTTGATCAGCGCAAATTTGAGCGATCCAAATATTGGCCATCATTAATGAGCAGAGCACAAAACCCCCCTGCCCCTGAAATGCTCTATAGGGGATGTGAAAGTTATTTTCACCATGTTTGGCAAGATCCCAGGGCCATTTTAAGACCAAGAGGGGCTTTTTCTTGGAAAAAAAACCTGAACAGGCAATTACTTTTTTCTCTCTCTCTCTTTTTTTAAAAACAAAACAAACTTGCCCTATGCCTAAAATCACATAATGGGAAGACATGAAAGCTTGGAGAATATAATGATGCTGGGGAAAATGGAAGGAAAAAGGAAGAGGGACTGACCAAGGGCAAGATGGATGGATGTTATCCTTGAAGTGACTGGCTTGACTTTGAAAGAAGTGGGGGTGGCCACGGCTGACAGGGAGCTCTGGTGTGGGCTGGTCCATGCGGTCACAAAGAGTCAGAAATGACTGAACGAATAAACATGTCTAAAATGGAATTCCACAGGTTTTCCCGAGGGTATAATGTGGTCTAGGCCTGTTTTACAATTATATATTCAGATATAGAAATTCCAGTGCACTTTTAATTTGACTAAATCCTTGCATTTGTTTATTTAGGATGCCTCGCAAAACAAATCTTTATTGAAGGCTCTGTTCTGCTACAGAAAGGCACCAGAAATATTGCCGTGAAGAAAAATGACTGCTTTGACACATGTATTGACCAGTTCTGTTGTTAGCAAACATCACACATACATAAGAAAAATACACTTTGACACAGCAAAAGTATAACCAAATGACTTTACATGTTTGCTTCACCCATGGTAAATTCAGTGGGATTACCTCTAGAGAAGGAAAATGTTAAAGAACAGGGCTTTGAAAAAGTGACAGAATTACACAGCAAACATTTACTACAATTATACAAAATCTAGATTAACAAGATGTCACAAGTCTTGTACAAAAATGATGTTTTATGCAAATGCAACGACAATACAAATCCAACTGAGGCAACAATCTCATATTTCATCCTTGCTTTGTAAGTCCTCTTGTTAAGCTAAGATCTAATGTGATGGGTCGAATGCAGATCAACACACATTAACAAAGTGGTTATTTTAAAACAAACTCCTACAAATGAAAAAAAAGGAAATGCAGGCCTCATAGCGAAGCAGTTTGACAAGCAACCACAATCTTGTACAATTTAATCTTGACTTTTCTTTTGCTCACATATTTCTCAACAGATATTTCATCAGTCCCCCAAAAAAGGGGATGGGGAAATAGTTTTGATTTTAAAAACACTGGGAAGAGAAAGGAATAAGCAATGACTGTTTTATTTTCTCCTGTTGTATTTTACTTACTAGACTTGAGAACTTTCCATGGCTGCTTTTCACACACAATACAGACATAAAGCAGAGAGGAAATGCATGTAATGTCCAGCTGAGCCTTTGGCTAAAAGGATGAAAGACTATATGACCAATGGGACTATAGAAATGTGACTACTAGTCATGCAAGACATCTGATACAGCTCTACATATCAGGTGGAGAACTTGTAGATCAGGAGTGAACTACTGGATGTTCAGATCCACATCTCATCAGCTCAGACCATTTTGAACATGTAAACAAGTAAACACACATCCCTAGATCATAATAATAGATTAAGGACAACTGTCTACTTGTTCACATGGCTGTCCGTGAGTTGAAAATGTTGTATGGGAAATTAGGACTGTTTTAATGGGTTACTCAGATATATATATATATGGGATGTTTGAAAAGTTTTCTATATGAATCAGATTCCTTCAAGGATTTCTTTTCCCATCTGAACAACAATGCAGAAGAAATCCAGCAGAATTATAGCATTATGATGAGGAATGCTGCACATGTTGAATTGTTTCCTCTTGTATAATAACTGAGTAGCACAGTGACCATGTCCTATCAGGCAACTTTACTTTACGTTGGGAATCAAAGCTCTAAGTAGCTTTACGACTAATCCAAAGAAAGCAGTGAGGCTCTAATAAGATCTATGCTGTCCTTTTCCAATTAAGATTGAGATTCTTACTCAAGGTTTTGAGCCAAAGCACTTGATGCTTCACAAAAGAAAGCACCACAAACAGCTAAATACCATGGATATTAACATGTTAACAGAAAGAAAGAGAAGGTTTTCATTTAATTGTGCTTGCCAAATATATGTAGATGTAAAGTTCAAAGGAAGAGGGTGCCTGCACTCTGTTTATAGAGATTTATAGAGATGACAGTGTGAATAATTCCTTTGACTGACTAGAAGAGAAACAGTTCTGTCATTTTGAACTGTTCCTTTTCACTATACCCAGTAGTTTAACAGACGACACTTGTTTGACCAACAATTTTGACATTTTCCTTTTCAAAAGATCCCTCCCTGCCCCCAAAACGCAGTGTTCGCTTCCATACATCACAGAACAGTAGGAGAAGCGGAAATGTTTGTATAGTCTTTGTAGGTCATTTTAAAGGTTGCAGGATCATTAATAGAGAGCAGTCTTTTTCATGATTCTCAGGAATTCTTGCTCATTTATTTCTCCATCGCCATCCCGATCGGCTTCGTCTATCATTTCCTGCAAAAACACCAGAGATTAAAGACCATTCTGGAATTGCACTGAAAGATTTTGGTCGATTACATTCTTTGCTTAAGACAGCATGATCCAAAGTGGAAATATATTAGTAACACATATTCCCATTTTCTAATAGTGAATTCATTACACCGGCCAACACACATTTTGATGCCTCAAATCTTAGACCTGCTTCTGTTGGAATTCAACCCCACACTGCCCAAGTCTGCAGTCCTCAATGAGGAACAGTTTAGTTAGCTTAGAATAGTCTTAGGATTTCCCTTCCTCCATGTGTCCTGTATGACGGTGCTATGTGCTTTGAAATCTCTCTCTCTCTCTCTCTCTCTCTGTTAGAGAGATGTAGTGATTGGTGTTTTCCCCCTCTCTTTGAAACCTTAAAAGAGGTGGGTGTTAGAGTTGCTCAGAAATGCAGTTATTATTATTATAAATAAACTTTTTGTGGTTTTTAAGATAGGACTCTGCATCTTTACCTGCCTAAGCTCTGAATTCTTACAATCACAACCAACTCCACTTCACACTCTGATCATTAATGAGCTGAATGTTCAACTGTAAGTATCCTGTTTGATTTTGGATGCTTTGGTGTATATTTTAGGGTAGTTTTCCCTAAGAGTTTTTGGGTATATTTGATCTGTTGATTCCAAGAATGGCACCAGTTTCCCCCTATTAGTTCTAGTTTTTGATATACAGAGCATATGCCATCTACCAGTCACTATCTGGGCTGAATGAAATACTCTGCTTGTAGCAAGTTGCTAACTTGTAATTGTTATCTGCATTCTTTTTAATAGATTGGAAGTCAACTAACATCCAGCATAGAAGATGCAGACAGTAACTACTCTCTCTCTCTCTAAAAGTATAAATACGTCTATCTGTTTCTACCACAAAGGCTGTTGCTAGGTGAACTGACCCTTTGTGATATCACAAGAAAAGAAAGGTGAGAAGAAGGAAGGAAGGAAAGAGCCACCAGGAGAGCCATGTTGCCATTGAGACATTGTGGATACAGGGCACCTGTTAATCCGGAGACCCAAAGCTCATGGGGAGAAGGGGCACATATACAGGGGACACACAGATGTCTAAGGGGATTCAATCCCACCCTGGGCATTCATGGGGAAGAAACAGTGAAATAGAAGGCAAAAATAGGATAAACATACACCACGGTCCTGTGGATAATGAGGAAATCCTGTGAGTGGATTGACTGAAACCCACGGAAAGGGGAAGACACATAGAATCATAAAATTTCTCAGAGTTGGAGAAAGGGGATGGAAGGAAAGAAGAGGAAGGATAGGGAAAAGGAATGGGAGAAGAAAAGAAAGAAAGTAAAACAAGGGATGAGAGCAGGGGACCAGTGGCCCCTCTGACACCTGGGCAACATTGGTTATATATGCTAACATATATGGTTATATGTGCCTCTTCAAATTCTGCAGTGCTGCAGAATTTGAAGAGGCATGAATGGAGGGCAAAAGGGAGAAGTGTGCCAAGTGGAAGGTGCATCAAGCCAACTCCGACCGAGACCGCCTTCCACCTGGAAACCAATGCCCTCACTGCGGAAGAAGATGCAGAGCAAGAATAGGGCTCCACAGCCACATACAGACCCACAAGAATACTGGAAGACAATCCTCCTCGGAAAACGAGGGATCACCTAAGTAAATATGCTAACAGAAAAATACATTTCAATAATTTACTATTAGTGCTCTTCAGGATCTTTTCTGAAGTCACTCCTAAATGCTGGAATTCTCCAAAGACATGTTTTGCCTAAAAATTACAGTTACTATATATTTAGGGCCACAATACAAAGGCATTTCAAATCCTTCAGTGTTTTACATTTGGATACAATGTTCTCTGGATTTGTTGGGTTGTTGTAAGTTTTTCAGGGTGTATGGCCATGTACCAGAAGCACTCTCTCCTGATGTTTTGCCTGGATCTATGGCAGGCATCCTCAGAGGGTGTGAGGTCCTCACAACCTCTGAGACATTATAACCCCTGAGGATGCCTGCCATAGATGAAGGCGTAACGTCAGGAGAGAATGCTTCTGGAACATGGCCATACAGCCTGAATAACATACAACAACCCAGTGATTCTGGATATGAAAGACTTCAACAATACATTTTTCTGGATTTGTTTCTCGTGTCTTTTAATTATTTAAATTCATAGAAATGCCTTAAATAAATAGGAAATTTGAAACATTACATTGGAAACTTACCTAGTACTTAAAGTGGGATATGGGAGAGGCAACCTCCCCCACCCCCGCCCTCCAAAAACCCCACAGAATTCAACAGAACAAAACTAACAAGGCAAAGTGAAAGAAGTATGTTTATCAGAAGGTCAAAGTGTCAATTATAAAATCTTACGGACAATTGATCTGCATGCCCTGCTCCTTATTATTACTGAATATAGTTGGCACACGACCTATTAAAAAGTGTAAAGCTGGATAAATTTTATATGAATACACAGTAGAGAGGAACTCTAACACTCCAATGCCACAATCATCAGTTTGCCTAATTCTGACTGTAGAAGTAACATAGCTATTCAAACCATTCAGCAAAATATTTACCTGTAATTCTTCATCTGTTAATTTTTCTCCAAGCTCCTTGGAAACTTGCTTGAGGTTTTTAAAGGAGATCTTTCCTGTGCCATCTTCATCAAACAACCGGAAAGCCTTCAGGATTTCTTCCTGGGTGTCTTTTTCACTCTTAAAAAAATAAGAAAAGAGGGATTTTAAAACAAAATCTCCAATGATGCCTTCCAACTACTGTATCTAAAAATAAGATTGTATGCTACTTGCTTTACCATTTTTTTGGTCATCATGGTCAAGAAATCTTCAAACTCTATGACGCTGCTTCCCTCTTTTCCAAGCTCCGCAATCATCTTTCTAATTTCCTCTTTCTTTGGCTCAAAGCCAAGGGCACGTATTGCAACCTGCAACAGAAATTTTATTTATTTACCCTATTTATACCTCACCCTTCTCAACCGTGAAAGGGACTCAAGATGGCTTTACACATAAGCAACTATTAAATGCCTTAAAATAACAAAAAAAAAACATTAAAATTAATATGCATTAAAACATTTTCAAACATTACATTCGCTATTAAAACCATACCACCCACAATCGTAATCTGAGGCCATTCCAGTAGTCATTGCACATATTCCGTATCCTTCTATTGCATTACAATTACTCTCCAAAGGCTTGATCCCAAAGCCACATTTTCACTTTCCTTCTAAAGGCCAGGACGGAGGGGACTGATGTAATGCTACCGGGGAGGAAGTTCCACAGCTGAGGGGCCACCACTGAGAAGGCCCTGTCTCTCATCCCCACCAGTCACACCTGTGAAGGAGGTGGGACTGAGAGCAGAGCCTCCCCAGATGATCTTAATCTCTGAGGTGGTTCATAGGGGGAATTTAATTTGGACAGGTAAGCTGAGCCAGAACCGTTAAGGGCTTTATAGGCTGAAGCCTCTGAAGCTGTCTATCTAGAGTGCTTTGAATGTGCCTTCTTGCATGGCAGGGGGTTGGATTGGATTGCCCTTGGGGGTCTCTTCCAGCTCTATGATTATATATCAGGAGTAGGTAATACAGGGTCCAATGGATACACTTTTTGTCTTCCGTCCTCCATCTCATCCTGATGAAGGCTAACCCTTTTGGGATCCAAATGTCTTTCCTTCACTTTCTGCCTCCGAAAGAGAAGAGGAATGGAGGAAAAGGCAAGCTTGGGGAAGACCCTCTCCCTCCTGGCTCCCCCCCCCCCCCGTTACAGCCTGCTATGTGGCCCCCAAATGAGAAAGTTTGCACATCCTTGCAATACACCATGAAAAAATTTAAAAGAGAAACAAATTTAAAAGACGAAAAATATATTAAATCATTTTCACTTCTTTTAGATAGTTCCAGGATGGACTAAATAAGCTCTTGCCTTTCACTATTAATCTCAGAGAAGGGGAAGGTTCTTTGTTTTCATATGAGTTAACATATCCACATTGACCCATACATAAGCCGATCCAGGTTTTTTTGGGTTGATGCTTTGACTCAACATTCTATATTTATATACGAGTATACAGGGTAAATTACTAAAAGGAATTCATCACTTTACCTTTAGCTCTTTAATATCAATGGTGCCATTTCCTTCGGTATCAAACAAATCAAAAGCTTCTTTGACCTCCTGCTTTTGATCTTCGGACAATTCATGCTTCAACCCACTTTTCTTTCGCTGGGCAGTGCTTGGTGTTATTTTTTTATGGCTGGATGCCTTCCATTGTGCAATTGAAAAAGAAGAAGATATCTCACAAGTTTTCAGAAAACAATACTTAGTTATGAATTCAATGGGGATATAATTTGCTAGGTTTGCTAAAAAGAACAAAGGGGTTCAAGTAATAAATCATAGAGTCACAGATTTGGAAGAGACCTTGTGGGCCATCCAGTCCAAGAAGCAGGAAAATCACATTCAAAGCACCCCCAACAGATGGCCAGCCAGCCTGGAGCCTCCACCACACTCTGGGGCAGAGTGTTCTACTTCTCAACAGTTATCAGTCAGGAAGTTCTTCCTAATGTTCATTTACACCCCACTGTAACTATGTCATGGTCAACATCAACAACTAAAAAGATTTCTAGGAATTGTCAAACCTATATGCAGTAATACTTCATCTATACCAGGTATGGGCAAGCTTCAGCCCTCCAGATGCCTTGGACTTCAACTCCCGATAGGCTGTTAGGAATTGTGGGAGTTGAAGTCCAAAGCACCTGGAGGGCCGAAGTTTCCCCATGCCTATTATCAACACACTTTAGGACAGTGATCATCAAACTTTGGTTGTCCAGTTTTTTTAAGACCCTGGCTGTTGGCCAAAGTGCCTGGGGCTTCTGGGAACTGTAGTCTAAAACACAGGAAGACCCAAAGCTATGCCTATCCGTTCTTTGCACACTTTCCTGCGAACCACAAACAGAATTTCGTGGTCAAAGGTTTAGCCTGCAAACAGTTGCGTTTGGTGTGTTGTCAAAGGCTTTCATGGCTGGAACCACTAGGTTTTCCAGGCTGTATGGCCATGTTCCAGAAGCATTGTCTCCTGAAGTTTTACCTATGGCACACCTATGGCACACCTATGGCAGGCATCCTCAGAGGTTGTGGGGTATATTGGAAACTAGGCGAGTGAGGTTTATATATCTGTGGAAAGTCCAGGGTGGGAGAAAGAACTCTTGCCTGTTGCAATTAATCATCTTGATTAGGATTGAAAAGCCTTGCAGCTTCAAAGCTTGGCTGCTTCCTGTCTGGGGGAATCCTTTGTTGGGAGGAGTTAGCTGGCTCTGATTGTTTAATGTCTGGAAGTCCCCTGGGTTTGGCTTGTCTCTTATCCAGAGAGGAACTAGAAGGATATTTATTTATTACAGTATGTAATACGATTTTTGTTCCTGGGTTATAAATATCATTTCCTAATTGATTTTATCATAAAAACATGGGAAAAGTTTCTTAAACTGCAAAAACTTTGTTTTTTGTGTAACAGCCTGCAGCTATAGTTTTTCAATGGATATGGTTTTTGAATGGGTATTGGCTATAGTTTTTCAATGGATATCTCATCGAGTCCTAACCAATTTAACATAGTTTGTGGCAGCCACAAAAACAAAGTTCCTGGAGTATAACAACTACTTTCGAAGCAAGGACCGCACAATTAAACAGGAAATAACACTTTCAAACCAGGAACATATATTTTTCAAGTTTTGTTTCCAGAATTTTATTTATTTGTTTACTTTTTTATCTCAGCTTTCTTCCAATAATAGAGACTCAGGGCAGGTCACAATAAATGCAAATCAAAACAATATAAATGCATTAATTAAAATGCAAATATAAATATTAAACAATTAAGGATTTGTGGGTAGTTGTAGGTTTTTTCGGGCTATATGGCCATGGTCTAGAGCCCTGATGGCGAACCTATGACACGTGTGTCAGCACTGACACGCACAGCCATTTTCAATGACATGCGGCAGCATGCAGCCACATACAGAGAAGTATGGAACTGCATGCCAGGTGCAGTAGCCGAGGATGAAACACTTGCTGTAATGTATTGTAGTCACTCTGTACCGGAGGTCTGTAGGCCAATACAACAGAACTCCGGCACAGAGCATCTAGTTCTGGGACTTCCAGTTAGGCTGTTACAGAATCCTTGACCTCACTTCTGGCTGGTGGAGCAGGGAGCAGCGCAATGCCACAGGGGATGCATTGCTGGGGGCCCTGTGATCACCATTACCAGCAACCACATAACCACAGCAACCATCATCCAATCTACTGTTATGGGGTGTCGTGGATTTCTAACTGACCATCATTACTGAGATAAGTGAGGGGGAAGCTGGAAGAGGCAAGGGCCTGTGGTATGGGTGCCATTTCCCACCATTAGAAATAGCGGCAGCATTCTTAATTTACATAAACAACACCATCTTGCAGCATAGTACAGGCTCCATTTCACCACTATTACTGTTGTGCATCCTCATGAAGCCCTATTTCTGCTTATTAACCCTGCTCTTTCCTAAAGGACAGTTACATGTGCCATCTTGTGGTCAGTTAGGCTAGTTATCCCCTAATTGCCTAAAGTTATACTGTATATTGCAATTATACATTTTTGTTATTTAAACTTTAAATATCGTGAAATTATGGGATTTTTTACTCAAAGTGACACACTGCCCAAGTTATGCTCAGTTTTTGGGCGAATTTTGACACACCAAGCTCAAAAGGTTGCCCGTCACTGGTCTAGAGGCATTCTCTCCTGACATTTTGCCTGCATCTATGGCAAGCATCCTCAGAGGTAGTGAGGTCTGTAATTAAGGATTTGTGTCGTTAGAACTATTATATATAAAAATATTAATTAAAATGCATTTGGGAAAAATAGGAGTGTGGAAAAATGTTGGATGAACCCTCCATGGTGGATTTAGAGCAGGCTTGAGCAAACTTGGGCCGTTAGGAATTGTGGGAGTTGTAGTCCAAAACACCTGCAGGACCCAAGTTTGCCCAGGTCTGATTCAGAGTCATTGCTGAAGGAAAGGGTGGACTTTGGCTGCATCTACACAGGAGAGTTAACGCGGTTTGACATCACTTTAACTGTCCATGGCTCAATACTATGAAAGCTTGGGATGTATAGTTTCAAGAGGTCTTTGTCACACCAAACTACAACCCTCAAAGACTCCACAGATCTTCTAGCGGTGCCAAACCGCGTTAATTCCACAGTATAGACGAGGAGGAAGCCAGGCACTCACCATGGCGCAAAGGAGGGAGCCGCTCTTTCAATCCACCGCACAAAAACCAGCCTTGGACCACCTGCATTCACTGATGGCTACGCCCCGCCCCTATAAACACCGCCTAGCCAATGAGCGACGGGATTCTCGCCATGCCCCGCCTCCCTTTGTGTTCGTCACGACCAATAGGGCAACGCGAGCGGAGGGCGGGCCTTAGAGAACGCCCATGTTACCGTTTCTGTTGAACTCACAACAAAACGGGTGGCGTCGGTTGCCTGGCAACCGCCCTCCCTCGCCAGCCAATGAGAGAAGCCGGCGGAGTTCTGACGCAAAGATAGAGAAGAACAATGTGACTGTGAGCATGCGCAGTAGTGTCTTTCACGTCGTTTGTCAGCGCATGCGTAAAGGAAGGAACAGAATTCAGAAGGGATAAACGAGGCAGTGGCCCTTCAGCAACACTGGGTTAATATTCTATTATTAAATAATATTACTAATGTTTTACTTTCTGTATACTGTGGTAGCACTTGCTTTATTGGCTAATTTGTTTGTTGGAGATAGCAACCTTCTCAAGCCTTCTCTATGTGATGTTTATCTGTTTTATAATGTGTAGGTTTATTTCCTGAAGTGTGTGTCTTTTTTGGTTTGTAGTTACCTTAGCTCTTAGCTCAAAGCCAACCTTAAAAATTCTGGCATAGACACTGAGAACTGGGAAGCCCTGGCCCTTGAGTGCTCCAGCTGGAAGTCAGCTGTGACCAGCAGTGCTGCGGAATTTGAAGACACACGAATGGAGGGTGAAAGAGAGAAACGTGCCAAGAGGAAGGCGCGTCAAGCCAACCCCAACCGAGACTGCCTTCCACCTGGAAACCGATGCCCTCACTGCGGAAGAAGATGCAGATGAAGAATAGGGCTCCACAGTCACCTACGGACCCACAAGAATACTGACCCTGGAAGACTATCCTACTCGTCCAACGAGGGATTGCCCCTAAGTTACCTTATCTCTATATACTTGAAGCAGTGGGAGGGGCTGGAGACCATGTGACTGGCGCAGTGACTGTTTAGAATGTTCAGTTTGAAAAGGATGACAGTTAGGAGTCAGTTGAGGCTGGAGTCTGTTAGAGTGTGGAAGCTAGTGTTAGGAGTTAGACGGCATGAATCAGTCTGAGTACAGAAGTCAATGTTAGAAGCTAGAAGTCAGTTGAGGCTTGAATTCCTTGGAAGTAGACTGTTATTAAGGAGAGTTGTACAAAGCAATATATTGTTGAAGGCTTTCATGGCCGGAATCACTGGGTTGTTGTAGGTTTTTTTGGGCTATATGGCCATGTTCTAGAGCAGCGTTTCTCAACCTGGGGGTCAGGATCCCTGGAGGGGTCGCGAGGGGGTCACAGAGGGGTCACCAAAGATCATCAGAAAACACAGTATTTTCTGTTGGTCATGGGGGTTCTGTGTGCCAAGTTTGGCCCAATTCTATCGGTGGAGTTCAGAATACTCTTTGATTGTAGGTGAACTATAAATCCTAGTAACTACAACTCTCAAAGGTCAAGGTCTAGTTTCCCCAAACTCCACCAGTGTTCAAATTTGGGCATATTGAGCCAAGAGTGATCCAGATTCATCATTGTTTGAATCCAAAGTGATCTCTGGATGTAGGTGAACTACAACTCCCAAACTCAAGGTCAATGCCCACCAAACCCTCCCAGTGTTTTCTGTTGGTCATGTGAGTCCTGTGTCCCAAGATTGGTTCAATTCCATCACTGGTGGAGTTCAGAATGTTCTTTGATTGTAGGTGAACTACAAATCCCAGCAACTACAACTTCCAAATGACAAACTCAATCACCCCCCATCCCACCAGTATTCAGATTTGGGCGTATCAGATATTCAGATTTGGCCGTATCATTCACTGGACCCAGTTTGGTCCAATGAATGAAAATAGATCCTGTATATCAGATATTTACATTATGTTTCATAACAGTAGCAAAATTACAGTTATGAAGTAGCAACGAAAATAATTTTATGGTTGGCCACCACAACATGAGGAACTGGATTAAGGTGTCGCAGCATTCGGAAGATTGAGAAACACTGTTCTAGAGGCATTTTCTCCTGACGTTTCACCTGCATCTATGGCAAGCATCCTCAGAGATAGTGAGGTCTGTTGGAACTAGGAAAATGGGTTTATATATCTGTGGAATGACCAGGGTGGGGCAAAAAATTCTTGTCTGTTGGAGCTAGGTGTGAATATTTCAACTGACCACCTTGATTAGCATTTGATGGCCTGGCAGTACCTGGGGCAATCTTTTGTTGAGAGGTGATTAGATGTGCCTGACTGGTTTCCCTCTGTTGTTTTGCTGTTGTAATTTTAGAGTTTTGAGCAATATAGTTTTGAAGAGACTGCTAAAGATTATAAGTTCACGATACAAACTGAAACGTTTTAAAGCAGTGTTTCTCAACCTGGGGGTCAAAAGCGGATATCAGAGGGGTCGCCAAAGTCCATTGGAAAACACAGTATTTTGAGTTGGTCATGGGGGTTGTGTGTCGGAAGTTTGGCCCAATTGTGTTGTTGGTGGGGTTCAGAATGCTCTTTGATTGTAAGTGAACTATAAATCCCAGTAACAACAACTCCCAAATGTCAGTTGGTAGGCTGTTAGGAATTGTGAGAGTTAAAGTCCAAAACACTTGGAGGGCCTAAGTTTGCCCATGCCTGTTTTGATTGTCTGGAATAGATGATGCAAAATTTGGAAGGCAATGAAAGGCAGAAGCAATAATTCTGTATTTCATTTGCAGATATCTTGTGATCATGGCTTTCAGAAGTATGAGCAGTAAGAAACATATTGGACTTCAAGAGCTTTCAGCTTTGGCATCCACTGGAAGGACCCTTTTAGGACCGGTGAAATCATCCAAATTTATAATTAACGAAAGTACTCTGGACAGTATCTTGATTTGTTCTGCAGCGAGACTTCTAGAAAACTTGGATTTCAATAGTGCCGTTGGACAGCTTCTTAACGAGTCCATCCAGGCGCAGGAGAAAGAATATAAAACTGGGACAACTACTTTATTATTTCTAGTCAGTGCATGGAGCAATGCTGTCCTTGAATGCCTTCAGCAGGATGTTCCTGTTTCAGTAATAGTATCTGTGATGTCCGAAGGTCTGAATTCTTGCATTGAACATGTGCAAGGCCTTGCGTTATCGCTGCACGATATACACCAAAGGCGAGATGATGGAGACACCAGTTGTATTTTCACGGACAAAGAACACTGTTTGCAAAATTGCGAGTTTGGGGTATCAAACTGCAACCAAAGATCAAAAGTAACCCATAGTAGATACTTCAGTAATGTAAAGGAACTACCTTTACCCTGGCAACTAGATCGATCCAAAAAACATTTTGATGAGCTCTGTGATCTAGCAATGTCACTTAGCCATGAAAGCTGGCCTGCCATGAAATTGGTGCAGGATGTTCTCAGCTACCAGTTGCATAGTGTCAGCATAATGGCTCTTCCTTTCCAATTTAACCTTTCAGAGGTCGTGACTTGTTGTTTACCAGGTGTTTCTGAAACCCATTCTTGTGTTTATCCTGGTTACACAACTTTAATATGCCCAGAGAAAGCGGTCGTTGCGAAGCACTTTCAGGATGAGCCTCTTCGTGTTATTCTTGTAAATGGGGACCTAAGTGAAACCTATCGCCATTTGGGCTTTAAGAGGCCACAGAATGTAAGAATCCTCTTTGAAAGTGCATCTGATCTGGAAAACAGCCAGAGATCTTGGGTGGATTCTATGCTAGATATTCTGATTCAGTTTGGGATAAATTTAGTTTTGGTACAAGGTGCGATCTGTAGAAGTTTGGAACAATGCTGTCTGTTGAATAACATATTGGTGGTTAATGGAGTCGCTTGCAATGCATTGAGGGCTTTTGGTGCTATTACAGGCACAGAACGGGTGACCTACCTCACCCAAGTGAATGAGCGTTGTGTTGGCAAAGGCATCTATATGAAGCTCTGTGAAACTCCGGAGTCAAGTGGAATGGAGCTGAATGGCCAAATGCTGGTTTCTTTAATAGCAAAAGGAATTCCCCTGACGACTGTGGTGCTTGGTTGCCCTGTTATGTCCAAGATGCAAGCCACTGAAGATAACTTTTGGACATGTGCTTCCCGTGTGCATCATGCCCTTCTTGACCAAGCAGTCTTTCCAGGAGGTGGCACTGTGGAATTCCTATGTCTCAGTTATCTTGGGAACTTGGAGAAAGCAACCAACATTTCTAAGGGAGATTTTAATGCTGGCATCTCTTGGTTTGGAAAATATTCAGAACAATATCAACCTTTGGTGCTTAGTGCTTTGGCACGTGGTTGGCACCAGTACCTTTGCACTATCATGTGCAACACCACAAAATGCACATCTGAATTAGAAGCTAGCACCTTCATACAACAGCATCTCCAAAAAGCAGCAACCTGTGATTCTCCAGCAGTGTACATACTAGATGCGTTTAAGAAAGGTAGGATGGGAGTTGCAAGCATTGAATATGTTGGGATGCATGGAAAGGCTCCAAAAGTATATGATAATGTTGGGGCTAAGACAGAAGCATGGCGAAGGGCTCTAGATTTGGTGCTGTTAGTGCTACAGACAGATGCTGAAATTATCACAGGCCCTCAGAGGGATCAGTTGCTCAAATCACAAGTCACAAGTAAGTTCCTGTTTTTGTAGGAACATGTACAGCTTCTAAAAATGACAGAAGATTAAAATTGTCAGTATTTTGCAAGAAGAAAAGTAGGCATATAATAGGAAAATAAAATTTAAAATTCTGTATTTTAGGAGTTAAAAATGATGTTATCCACAGAAACCATTTTAATGGGGTGCATCTGCACTGTAGACTTAAAATACTTTGATATCACTTTAACTGACATGTCTCAATGCTGTGGAATCATGGGAGTTGTAGTTTTACAATGTCTTTTGCTCTCCCAAACTACAACTCCCAAGGTTCCATAGCATTGAACTATGAGCCATGCTTTTTAAAACTTAAATGTATATGTTCCTATTCCAATGTTTGTTCATTTTTTGGTGCTGGTCATCGATTGTAATAATAAATAAATATGTATTGAACCATGGCAGTTTATTTATTTATTTCGTATCAAAAGCATTGCGTAAATTATTATAAAAGTGATAAAAATAGAAAGGGCACAAGTGGCTAAATATCTTTTGACCAAAAGTGGGTAACAGCAACTGCATTGTCTGTAGACTCCAACAACTCTTCCTCTGTACATGAGGCAGGACATTGTGGACAAGCATACAGATGCAGCGTTGTCTGTTCTGCTCCACAGTCCTCACAAGGTGGAGGATTCTTTTAGGTAGTGCCATTTTGCCAGGTTGTCTTTTGATCTGTCCACTCTACTTCTGAGTCTGTTCAGGGACTTCCAAGTTGCTCATTCTTGGTTGCCCCTCGAGGCAAACCCTCATGGGGAGGGGGGCATCCAATTGGGATTTCCTGGTTTAGCTGCCCAGAGGGAATAGTCTTACTGTTGCTGGGGAAATGTTAAGAGGAGTGGTGGTTCTCATGAAGTTTTTCCTAGATTTGAGTTTACTGGAAGAAGGTTGATAGCCATGCAGTGAATGGCTTTCACAGAGGTGTTCAACCTTATTTCTCTCACAATTAGCAGCAACTTCCCGTCACACATGGGGGGGGGGGGGGCAATGCCAGCTAGCTTGTAGTCTATCAACAGGTGTAGGTTTAAGACATCCTCTGATTATTCTGCATGTTTTCTTCAATGCTATGTTCACCTGCTTCGTGTGGGCAGACTTGTGCCAAACAGGGCAGGCATACTCGGCAGTTGAGTAAGACAAGGCCAGGGCTGATGTTCTTATTAATTTTGGTTCTGCTCCCCATGTGCTGCCAGTAACTTTCCTCAGGATGTTATTGCATGCAGCTACTTTGTGCTTGGGGTTCACGCAGTGTTTCCTATATGTTAGTGTTCTATCTAAGGTGACTCCGAGATATTTAGGATGGAAACAAAGAGCCTCCTCGAAGACTGAGTAAATACAGTCTGGCATCCCTTGGACAACGTTTTCTTGTAAATGGCTAATCTTTCCAAACCTAAAAGCATTGCTTTTAAACCTTGGCATGGCAGTTAAAGTGGTGCCAAACTGCATTAATTCTTCAGTAATAGATCACACTAGGTCTGGGGTGCTATCATTATTCAGTCTTGATCACTATTATGGGTGTAGACCTTAATCCAGTACAAAATATGGAATACTCATTTCGGTGAGACTAGCCTCCCTTTTAATTCTGATCATTTTATCTCCCATTTAGTTAAGGATATCTTGATCAGTGTTCTTTTAAACACAAACATGATACTATTGTTTGTGACTATAAAATGACTTGTTGTATATTGCCATAATTTTGTTTTAAATTTTTTTTTGAAGTCTGCTTGAGGACCTTCCATTTTTTGATTGCAATTTCCAGAATCCTCCAGCCAGGAAAGAGTTGTCAAAAAATTGTTCAGGTTCTGGTGGCTGCAATGTGTTGGGTGGGTCTTCCTTGAAACTGGAATCTTGGTTGTTACCCAAGGATGCCAAATACTGGTGCCAACCCTGCTACTAGGAAAGTTCTGTTCAAGCCCTGTTGAAGCTAATTAAATTGCTAATCTGTTTGCCAAGACAACAGCTATAACAGCTGGAATAGCACAGTAGCTAAAAGACTGGCATAGAACTAGCTGGATTTAGGGGAGGCTCTTTTTCGAGGCCTGCAACAATTCATCAGCCTGCAATATATGGATAATAACAACACTCATCTCATTCATACTGAAAGCAGTGCAATATAATGTATTTTACAAAAGAATATCTGTGTTTAAAGTAGGGGTGAAATATTGATGACAGTCTTGAGTGTTGCATAATATGATTGCAAAAATGCAATTCTGCATTCCTGCCATATTAAGATGAAATTATATTTTTCTACTATATTAAGAGCTGATATTTTAAAATTTAATTTAACAGAGAATATGCTAATAAATATATATTTGTACCTGTGAAAATGGCATTTTAATGTGCAGTGTATTCTTCAGCATCAATTACTGATTTATAATTTTGCCATTCCTTTTTAATGGATATTACCCAATTAGAAATAATTGGTTGTGTCCATTGATTTTAACCACACTGTGTTAGGAGCTATCTGTAACTCTTTAGTCACTGTTAAAAGTTGTGTCTCATTGTATTTCTGTAGTTTCTGAACTAGTAGCTTCAGATCCTTCGCAGAGAGGTATTAAAATTAGACCACCAGATGCTTATACAATCATAGAGTTGGAAGAGACCATGTGGGCCATCCAGTCCAACCACCTGCCATGCAGGAAAAAACAATCAAAGCACCACTGACAGATGGCTACCCAGCCTCTGTTTAAAAGCTTCCAAGGAAGGAGTTTCCACCACACTCTGAGGCAGAGAGTTCTGCTGTTGAACAGCTCTTAAAATCCGTAAGTCCTTCCTAATGTTCAGGTAGAATCTCCTTTCCTGTCATTTGAATCTATTGCTACAAGTCCTAGTTTCCAGGGCAGCAGAAAAGAAGTCTACTCAATCTTCATTATGGCATCCTTTCAAATATTTAACTTAGCTGTCATTTCTCCTTTCACTCTTCTCTTCTATAGGCTAAACATATCCAGCTCTTTAAGACACTCCTTGTAGGTTATTGTCTCCTGACCTTTGATAATTTTAGTCCCCCTCTGGACACCTTCCAGCTTGTCAATATCTCTTTTGAACTGTGGTGCCCAGAACTGGACACAGTATTACAGGTGAGGTCTAACCAAAGCAGAATGCAAGGGCACCATGACTTCCATTGAGACACTATACTTTTGATGTACCCCAAAATTCCATAGCTATTTTTAGCTGCTGCATCACACTGTTGGCTCATGTTTAACTTGTTATCCACAAAGACTCCAGGATCCTTTTCACATGGACTGTTGTTGAGCCATTCTGTATCTGTGCACTTCATTTTTCTGCCCAAGTGTAGTATCTTACATTTGTCCTTGTTGCAATTCATTTTGTTAACTTTAGCACAGCTCTCTAATCTTTTAAGGTCATTCTTAATTCAGATCCCGTCTTCTGGATTATTAGCTCTCCATCCTTAATTTGGTGTCATCACCTTCTAGTATGTCCTCTAAATCTTCCTCTTAGTCATTAATAAAGATGTTGGACAGACCAAACCCTGCAGCACTCCACTAGTCACTTCTTTCTGGGAAAGAAGGGTTTGGTCCCTTAACCACTTACAAATCCACCTAACCATAGTATTGTCTAGCCTACATTTTACTAGTCTGTTTGCAAGTAGATCACCAGGAACCTATCAAAGGCCTAGCTGAAATTAAGATATGCTACATTCAAGGCATTCCCTTCATCTACCAAGGTTGTAATTCTATAAAAAAAAGAGATAAGATTTGTCTGGCATGACTTGTTTTTGAGAAATCCATGCTAACTTTTAGTGATAACAGCATTCTTTTCTAAATGATTGCGGACTGTCTCCTTAATGATCTGCTCCAAAATCTTTAGATATTGATGTCAGGCTGACTGAATGGTAATTGTTTGGGTCCTCTTTTTTTCCCCTTCTTGAAGATAGGGACAACATTTTTTCCCTCCTCCAGTTTTCTGGGACTTCTCCTGTTCTCCAAGAATTCTCAAAGATTATTGCCAGTGGTTCTGAAATTACTTCTGTTAGTTCCTTCAGTACTCTTAGATGTATTTCATCTGGCCTTGGAGACTTGAATTCATTTAGAGTAGCTAGGTATTCTTTGACTGCTTCTTATCTATTTTGGTAAATCTTGGTCCGTTCTATATTGCCCAGTTTGAACACTGATTTCCTTTTAGAAGAAGAGCAAGGCAAAGACAGTGTTGCATATTTCTGCCTTTTCCCTATCTCCTATTAGCATTTCATCACCACCACACAGAAATCCTACAATTTCCTTGTTTTCTTTTTCTACTGACATAACAAAAATACCTTTTTATTATTTTTAATCTCATAAATTATTATACTTACAAGATGCCAGTATGACAATAAGCCAGGCTATATGAAGAGTGATTTAGAGAACTAGGTACATTATGACGACAAACTTAGAGGGGACCAACCATGTTTACATCTTTAAAGGATATCACATTGAGAAAGGGCAAGTTTGTTTTCTGCTGCGCTAGAGTTTAGGACATGGGGCAATGGATTTAAATGGCAGGAAAAAGTGATTCCAACTAAGCATTAGGAAATAACTTTCTGATGATATGAGATATTTGAGTGTGGAATATACTGCCTCAGAATGTGGTGGAGTCTCCTTCTCTGGAGGTTTTAAATCAGAGACTGGGTGGCCATCTGTCAGGAGTGCTTTGATTGTGTGTTTCTGCATGCCAGGGTGTTGGACTGGATGGCCCTTGGGATCTCTTCCAACTCTAGGATTATATGATTCTATAAGAAGTTGCTATGATTCTATAAGCAGTTTTTGAGCTTGCTTAGACTCTTGGATCATTTGGAGAGGTGCCTCTTTCATTTCTATCACCATCATAAGCACAAATGGAGATAAATGAAAGGACCTTTTTGGTGGCTGCCCCTTGGCTCCTTGGCTGAGGGTGGTCAGAATGTTCTCCTCTTTATCTTTTTGTTGGCTAGCAAAAAAATTATTTTAAGGAGGCTTTTAATTCAGAACATTTTTAAAGAACAGACTAGGGTATTTTAATCTCAACTATTTTTACATCTTTGTCTTCTATTTTATTAAATAATGTTCTGAACAATTTTAATATCATGATTAGTTTAATACCATTTCAATGTTTTTAGTCATGTTTTTAAAAAATGTATGCTGTCTTGAGCTCCAATTTTGGAATAAAGGATACAAATAACAATGAAGATTTCTTTTGTTGTTTTCTTGAACTATACTTAGCCAGGGCATTTTAAGCTGCAGTCCAAAAAATAACTTTAAAACTATGGATGGGAATATACATATTTTGAAAGAATGATATTGAGAGGTCACAGATTTCAGAGTGGTTGGGAAATGGAAGTAACTTTGGTTATGATTAGTGTGAAAAGAATTTTTGAAATGAAATAATGGCTTCAAATGGTACACTTTTAAAGCAGCTGACACCATGAC